TCTTTTGTGTATAGTGATCCCGATCCTACTAGCTTTCTAGAAATTGCAAAATAGGTGGTGGCACACAGCTGCTATTTTCCTGTAACCTGCCTACTTTTTTTGCACATTACTTTACTCAAAGCATTTGTGTCAAACTTGCTTTGAAAACGCTTGGAGCACCTTTCCTTAGACAAATCTTGGTACAGTCTGATCGGTTTCCATGAAACTGAAGGCAATGCCAGTGAAATTCTGTTGTGAAGTACACTAGTATTATGCAAATATATTATGTATTGACCTTACCCCTGTATACTGTAAAAAACCTGTATTGGCCTGTGAAGTTATAAAATTCTTGCATATGCTTCAGCCGTTCTTGTTTATAAGAAACCCTATTCATCCCTGTCTCTAGTCCCTGTTTTGGCTTCTAAAGGGGTTTGGGGATTATTTTTCAAAAACTGTTTTAGGTCAAGGATTGTCTGGTATCTGCCCCTCTACGTGTGGTTGGACTAGAGTTCCCACATTGCAGTCCCAGTATATCAATCCCTGTTTTATGGCTGATGCCTGTGAGTTTGTCATTCTTACGGTTGCAGCCAAGTCTGTCATTGGGTTGGTTGGGCTATGGACAAAGTGGTTCATTTCAGAGATGTTTGTGTAAGAGACATACATGGTAGTCTGTGGCCATTTCTGGTAAAATATGCTTTATGAGTTTGGGAATTTGGCTTATACACAGTGAAAGGATGGGAAACTCAATTTAACTGACATGTGGTGCCAGGGAGTCAGATTTTACTACTGAGTGCTGCTGCCTTTCTAAATTTGGCTGATGGAAAGGGAACAGTAGGGAGGAAGAATGGGATACAAAGAGGATAAACAAAGTCACAGGGCAGGAACCAAAGAGCGACTCCTGGCATTCAAATAAAATTCACCCAGTGAGATCTTTGACATTTTCCCATTGAACAGCTGGATCCAGTGACGCAGCACATACTGTCTTCAGAAGTCTAATGAATTCAAACACAGTCTGGTGTACAGCATGAGGGGCTCCTGTTCAAAAAATGTAAATCCCAACCCTCTCTTAGTCACACTGAACTATTTTTGCAGTTCTTTGAATGCCAGACCTTATTCTTAAATGATCCTGCTCCCCAAATTTTAGTCTTAGAAGGGCAAATGTGTTGCATCTGCTGCATTGGTGGGAGACGAAATCTTTACAGATGATCTCTGTTAGTAATCTGCTGTGGATGTAGTCAATTTTCTCTATAGTTTATTATTTCCAAAGGAAGAGGGGAAATGATTAGGATCCTACGGAAAGCAAAACCCCCCAAAAGCAGCATAACAAGAAAGGAGAGAAATGCCATCAAGTCCCTGAACTCAGACCCAGACATCATCATCCTGCCAGCAGACAAGGGGAATGCCACAGTAATCATGGAAACAGAAGAATACAAGGACAAAATCAGATAACTTCTAGACCCCACCACCTACAGAAAATTGAAATGGGACCCAACCAACAAAATCACAAAACAAACAAACATACTGATCAGGAGTTCCTCCCTGCACCCCAACACCCTTCAATGAATCTGCAAGACAGAAGCTGTCCCACCAAGATTATACGGACTCCCCAAAATCTGCAAGGACTCAATCCCACTCAGGCCCATTGTAAGTGCCATCAGCTCCCCAACATATGAATTAGCCAAACACCTAGCAACCCTCATTGGACAAACCTCATCCTACATCAAAGACTCAGGACATTTCATAAGCAAGATCAGCATCCTAAAACTCAACCCTGGGGACAGACTGATCAGCTTTGATGTAGTATCCCTGTTCAGTAAGGTACCGATAAAGGACACCCTGACACTCATCCAACAGATCTTTCCAGAAGACATCAAGGCCCTCTTCCAACACTGCCTAATGACTAGCTATTTCCAGTGGGATAATGAATTCTATGAACAGACAGATGGAGTGGCCATGGGCAGCCCCTTCAGCCCGGTTATAGCAAACTTCTACATGGAGCATTTCGAAAAACTTGCTCTGGCTTCAGCACCCCTCGCACCCACAGTCTGGTTCCAATATGTGGATGACACGTTTGCAATTTGGAGCCGCGGTGAAGAAAAATTGGAAGAATTTCTCAACCGTCTCAACAGCATCCACCCAAATATACAATTCACCATGGAAAAAGAAATAGAGGGCCAACTCCCATTCTTAGATGTCATGGTCCTATGCAAAACTGACCTCCGACTGGGACACAAGGTCTACAGAAAACCCACCCACACAGACCGGTACCTACACAAAAACTCCAACCACCACACACAGCAAAAAAGAGGCATAATCAAAACATTGGTAGACCATGCAAATCGGAACTGTGAAGCTCAGTTTCTCAGCACTGAACTCAGCCATCTGAATTGGGCCCTACAGGCAAATGGATACTCCAAAAATGAAATCACAAGAGCCATCAAACGAAGAAAACAACACCAAACTGAAGAAGAAACACAGACACCCACAAATAAAGTATTTCTGCCATACATCAAAGGGGTCACGGACTGCATGGGGAAACTTTTGAAAAAACACCACCTACAAACAGTATTCAAGCCCACCACAAAAATACAACCAATGTTATGGTCAGCAAAGGACAGAAGGTCCCCCCTCACCACTGCAGGAGTATACCGGATACCTTGCAGTTGTGGCCAGGTATATATTGGAATCACAAAACGAAGCATCCACACCAGAATCAAAGAACATGAGAGACGATGCAGACTAAAACAACCCGAAAAATCTGCAGTAGCTGAACATGCCTTAAAACAAACTGGACATGAAATTCTATTTCAGAATACCGAAATACTGGAAAACACCAGCAATCATTACGTCAAACTGCACAGGGAAGCCATTGAAATCCACAAACACCAGCAGAACTTCAACAAAAAAGAGGAAAGTTTGAAACTCAACAAAATTGGCTCCCAGCTCTCAAAAATACAGCATGCAAAAGGTCAATGAACTCTACCCAGCCACAAGGACCGGGGATCACTATACATGAAAGACCAACTAATGACACCCATCAACCACAGTCACAGATAATCTTTCCTTCTTATCACAACAATGCACCTGGAACACGACACACTAATCACCCATCTACAGAAAAAGACAAAAGCCCATCTCACAGCCATAAATACAGGACTCCACTCCCAAGCCAACTACATCAGAGCACAGAGTGCTGTCTTCTGAAGATACCGGCCACAGAGGCTGGCAAAACGTTAGGAAGAACAACCTTCAGAACATGGCCAAAGAGCCCGAAAAACCCACAACCACCATTAGATCCCGGCAGTGAAAGCCTTTGCGAATACATTGAAGCTTTTTCTGTTAGTGTCACTGAAACTACCCCTGATTTGAAGTGCTGGATATCTCTGTGGTTTAGGTATCTGGCTCTGGAGCCAGAGGTTGGGAGTTTGATTCCCCATCGTGCCTTCTTGACAATGATCCATAGGGTCCCTTCGAGCTGTGCAGTTTAAAGATGATGATGATGATGATGATGATGATGATGATGATGATGATGATTTAGTCTTGTTAGATTGACGCAGTGGAGGAAGTGGTGGTGGTGAAACTGCTTGGGTTGTTCTCTTGTTAGTAGCAGCAACATTCCCATGTCCCATAGCTATCTCAGGCACCACCCAGTAAACTGAATTCTTCCTAGCTATCCCATGTGACAACCTGATGTGTGTTGAAAGAAAAAATTCTCACATCTTGTTGTAGCAGCTTTGGTTGTCTTCTAAGGGACAGTTTTTCCAGGGCAACGTGCTTCAAACGTTTTCAAAACAAGTTTGACACAAATGCTTTAAGTAAAGCAATGTGCAAAAAAAGTAGGCAGGTTACAGGAAAATAGCAGCTGTGTGCCACCACCTATTTTGCAATTTCTAGAAAGCTAGTAGTATCTTCATCTTATCCTTGTAATGGCAACCAGGTCTGATACTATAATCTGATGCTTCCTGAGAAGCAGACAGACAGCTCAGTCCAAAGCCAGATTCATTCTTCTCTTGCTTTTCCCAACAGCCAAACATTGTAGAGTGACTCCATTTTGAGGAGTCATTCTTAAGCCAGTGGTTCAGATGAGAACTGTTCTTTCAGTCCTCTACCAGAGGCAAGGCGGTAGGGAGAGAATTACATCTTATTAATGGTTTTGGATACCGAATGGGGGGAAGGCTTGTTGAACTAACAGTAATGGATGTACCACCACTCATCAGTTGATTCCAACAGAAACGAGTAACTTGTCTGGGATCCCAGGCGAACCCATGCTTCGTTCTGATGCGGCAGCCTTTTGAAACATTGCACCTGACGGCCATCTTAATTACAAATCTTAATATCTGTAATATATTTGTGACATAGCCAGCTATTGCAATTATTGCTCATCCCACCTGCACAGCACCACTTTTGGAAAAGCTGCAGTATGTCAGCACCACTTTTCCTGGGTATAATGGACAATCATGAAACAATCCAATAGCTCTTTAAAAACAGTTACCTTGACTTTCTTCTATGGTACAGATTTTTAAAAACAGCAGAAGTGTCTTATGTGCAAAAGCCTTTAAAGACCATGAACTGGGTATGTTTAAAAATCAACTAAAAACATGGATGTTTCGGCAGGCCTTCCCTCCCGTCAATCCCTGATGTCCTCTTTCTCTACTCCCCATTGTTTCCTCTCAGTTTTTTGTAATGTCTATTTTATGTAACTTGTTTTATATATATTTATTGTTTTATTTTTATGTTGTTAGCCGCCTAGAGTGGTCTTAACCGACCAGATAGGCGGGATATAAAATAAATAAATAAATAAATAAATAAATAAATAAATAAATAAATAAATAAATAAATAAATAAATAAATAAATAAATAAATAAATAATAAAATAAACTTGTTTCAAATGTTTAAATGCTATGTTTTCTGTTTAGAAGAGCACGTTCTGAAAACTTTCATATCTCTCTTACAATTACTCAATTTATAGAAATGATCTGTAGAATAATTTTTCTTACTATTTTTGTCCTTCCCTTTTCTAGGTTCCTGAAGAAAATAAACTCTGAGTTTTGCTCAACTATGGGTGTTAGAGGTTTGCACTGGTTTGTGACCAATGCCTGCCAAGATGTCTGCTCAGTAGTCAATCTGGAAGACATGGCAAAAAGCCACCGCAGCAGGTATCCAGGATCCGTTCCTGTTCTTGTGGTAGATGCCATGTCTTGCCTTCGACAGTGGTACACACCTGAATTTTGGGTCTGTGGCGGCCAGTGGCGTGAATATCTTTCTAACTTGGACAGTTTCATAAATACTTTCACAACTGCTGGTATCAAACTGGTATTCTACTTTGATGGGCTGGTAGAGCAGAAGAAACGCAATGAATGGGTGAAACGAAGACTGAAAAATAACAAAGAAATAGCCAGGATTTTCCAGTTCATCAAGACCAATAAACAACAACCTGGGAGAAACATGTTCTTTATTCCCTCTGGGTTGGCTACTTTTACTCGCTTTTCTTTGAAGATCCTCGGTCAAGAGACAGTAAACTCACTGCAAGAGGCCGACTATGAAGTGGCCTCTTACGGCTTGCAAAACAATTGTATGGGGATTCTTGGGGAGGACACCGACTACCTGATTTATGATACCTGTCCCTATTTTTCTATCAATCATCTTTGCTTGGCAAAGCTGGAAACTATCATGTTCTCGAGGCAGAATCTTTGCAGCAAATTGGGTCTCCATGTAACCGAACTCCCCCTTTTTGCTTGCCTCCTCGGCACTGATATTGTTCCAGAAAGGGCCACGGAAAGACTTCGAAATCAGTGCCAGGCTTCATATTGCTCCAAAAACCAGTGCTCTGATAAAAGGATTAACATGATTCTAGCAGTGGCAAATTATATTTCAGCTCTTCCACGTTCGTATGATAGTTTGATGGCTTTGGCAGAAATGTTGCCTTTGGGATCAGACAAGTCTGTGCTTCTCAGAGGAATAGAGTCTTATATTCTGCCTGGGCAGCAGTCTCCTTGGCTCCCTCCTGATTTCTCACAGCACTCAGAAACATCTCTTAAAAATGTGCCCTTATGTTTAGATCAGGAAATTTTCCAGGTAATTCTTCAGCTCCTGAAGTTCCTTTTCATAATATTCACAAACAATCTGTTGTCAGTGGCACAGTTATGGCTAGATCTCTGGGCCAGTGGCCAGCGCCCTGTAGTTGTATGGCCACCTGGGTAGCAACTTCTCACATATGGAACTTCAGTCCAAGGGAAGCTAAGCTTCCAGTTATTGTCTTGGCAGGCAAAGATCTGTTTATTCAAGCTTTTGGCCATTGATTGGCTGTTGAAGAAAGGGTCATATTTTTATTGAGGCACTTTTAAATTCTTTTAAATGTAGTAGTGTTTAAATATTATAAATTATTTAATGATTTCATATTGTATCTTTTTATCCTGTTATTTCTGTCTTGTCTCAGGGTGCAGTTGCAAGTTGAAATACTTCTGGGTTTGCGTTGGATTTAGCGCACTTGAAATCGGTTTTAAAATATCTGTTTACATAACATAGCTGTGTGCACTTTTTTGGCTGGAAAGCATGTTTTGTTTTTGTTCAGAAAGTGAGGTATTTTAAACAGCTTGGAGGAAGTTGTTTATTTTACCTTGATTGTGGATACAATTTATTTTGAATTGTTTTGGCATGTGTTAAATTGTATCTGTAGGTTTTTCAGGTATCGGATGCCAGGATCACAGGCTTTGGGCTATAAGTAATCCTTGCAGTCTGATCTGCTGCACCTCCAGTGCAACAAACTTGTGGTGCCTGCCTGCCCTTACACTGGCTGCCTCTTGCAGCCACTCACCACTGTTACAGCTGGAGTTATTTTTATCATTTTGGTTTTTTAAATTATTTTTTGGACAGCACCAGGTCAGTATTACAGATAGGGGAAAAAACAGATCAGCATTAGGGTTTCCTTGCAGCCCAAAACCTGAGATCCTGGCTTCCATTACTTGACAAACATCACACAATTGAGCACACATGCCAGCGTAAGGGCAGACACAGGACAAATCCTCAAATGCAATGATTTTAAACATTTGCTCCTTGTGAAGGAGAGAACATTGGTTGGTGGAGGAGAGAAGAAATGTTAATTGTCTGTAACTTAAGAAATGTGCTTGCTTATATAGGGCAGCGGTGCCCAGCCTTTTTAGCCGCACGGACCGGCTGGGGATGGCAGGGTACCCCCCCTGCGCATGCGTGAAGAAGCATGTCTGTTCATGCATATGCGCACAGGGGCACTTGTGTGGGTCCACACACACGCATGTGCAAAGGGCAACACAGCACTCTATGCGCAAAGGGTGATGGGGGCACTTGTGTGCATGCGTGAAAGGGTGGGGAGTGCTCACAGGGGCTCAGGTGCACGCACGCAGGCACAAATGGGCTGTGCCGGGGGGAGTGCGTGCAGGGGTGGGGGGGAGGTCTTGTATGCGCACAGGGACACTTGTGTGGGTGCACACAAACGCATGTGCAAAGGGCAACACAGCACTCATGAACAAAGGGTGTGCATGCGCGAAAGGGTGGAGAGTGCTCACAGGGGCTCAGGCGCACGCACACAGGCACAAACGGGCTGTGCCGGGGGGGAGTGTGTGCAGGGGTGGGGGGGAGGTCTTTCTCCCCGGCCTGGTCCGGCTCAGGCCATGGACCAGCACCACGCCATGGACCAGGGGTTGGGGACCTCTGATCTAAAGGGAGCTGTGTAAGAAAGGTCATTTAGTTCAAAGTCTGTTACCCAGTTGTACTACTTTCTGCTTTATGTACCCATGTATATTATGTATGCATGTTACATGATTATTAACTTTTGTATTGCCTTGAATCCTGTGTGTATGCATATGCGATAAATTGTTCTTCTATTCTACCATCTCCATTGGTTTCCCAAAGCTGCAAAGTATAAATGGCAATACACATAAAAAGGCCACATCACAAATCAATAATACTGTACTTTTTGTTCATCTGAGAACAGATAGCAAAAGAACAGCATGTGAGAGGTGAAAGCCATATGGTGTACAATGTCCTGAAGGCTGGAGAGGTTGACTGTAGCAACACGTTGGAGGATGAGCGTGATGGAGAGATTCCTGGACAGGCACTTGTCTATTTCCCTGCACGTCAGCATATATATTCTATCTTACTGGAATCAGTCAAAGGTAAAGGCAGAGCTGGGAATACTGTGCAATACTGGAAGCAGAAAACACTGATTGTGCTGCATTTTTACTCATAAGGTTTTTAGAAGGTGTTTTGTGAATTGTGAAATCTCTACATGCATGTTTGAGAAGCTGACATCTGAATGAAATTTATGTATTTAGGCTGGAGATTTTACAGCCTGTCAATGCTGCCTGTAGCTTGTTTGACGGGAAGGGACCTTTCTGGGCTAGAGTGACTGTCAGTCTGTCCAGCACTGACTAATCGTTCTATCCCTGCCTCTGAATTCAAAGAGAGCCCTGTCTCCCTGCCCAGTATCTCTTCTGCCCTCCTGCAGTTTGTTGAAGTTTGCTGAAAGCAGTCATGTTTGTCAGGTTGCTGTTTGATCTGTTGATATGTAGGTAATGAAACCTTTTATTCTTTATCCTGCTAATGTCTCAGAGTGAGTTATTGAGACTGTAAGTACCAGTTAATGAAAAAAGGGGTGGACTGCTCTGGGGAACTTGAACTCCACTCCATCTATGAGCTCAATGATAAGATTCTCATGATTTAAAAAATTGCCTGGCTTTTAATTTATTTTCTGCCCTACTGATACAATGATCTCACAAGAAAATTAGAACACAGTTTTCAGTTCAACTCTATTATTACTTCAGGCCCAAGAGACAGAATCAGATAAATTATTCAAATCAAGATGAGGCTGCTTCCAGCTTTCCTGCCATAGCCAATAATTGATAATAATCTATATATACTATAATAATCTATACTTTCCTGAGGTTTTTCCCTTGCCTTCTCAGCTAATGAGCATTCAAAACTAAAGGAAATTTTAATGCTCATCAAAATCTGTACTTCTTTGAAGTTTTTGATGCAGCTTGCTGATAGATAGGGGAGTGGCTGGGTGGCTAACTAGCTAAGCACACAAAATGTACTCTTTTGAAACAGTGCACATGGAAACCATATATTTTGAAAAGAGAGTGCTGGAGTGGCAGAACTTTGTTTTGATTTTGGAATAGAATGGAACAAACTTAACAGCTTTGGGGATGGAAAACTGAGCAGAATTAAACTTGACAGTTTCACCTACCTAGATATAGCATGGAAAAGTTACTTTTTTGGATTACAAAACTGAAACTCATCCAGCAGTTATTTATTTATTTAAAATATTTTTTTAATTTTCCTTATTTATTTCACTTATTTACTTTTTATTTCACTTATTTATTTATTTAAAATATTTTTACCCCCTATTTCTCCTTAAAAGGACCCAAGGCAACTTACATCATTTATTTTAAAATGTTTACCCCTCTTTCCTCCTTAAAAAGGTCCCAAGGTGGCTTACATCATTAAAAGGCAGTATTTAAAGCTAACAACAATGAGTATAAAAATATAACAAGGATTAAAGAAATAACATACTAAAAAGCATAAGCAGCACTGAAACATATTCAAAGCAGTAAAGGCACAACAATCCATTTAAAACCCCACTCAGGCAGCCAGTCATTCAGGGAAAGCTTGCCTGAAGAGAAAGATCTTTGCCTGTTTGCAGAAGATTTGTAAACATGAGCCCATCTAGCTTTATTACCTAAAATATGACAGTCTCATGTTGCATTGCAAGTTCATTACACCATTATCAAATGTGAGTTACCTTCCTTAGCTTGTTCAGAATTGTGAGGTAGCTAAGTCAGTGCATGTTTCTATTTGTCTTGTCACATTGCACTGTTGGATCAGTATATTGGTCATCTCAATTTCCCATTTGAATCTGTGTGTTCAAACAGTTTGGCCCTCAGTGTACCAAAAGTGGGTTTATTCTTAGCTAAATGAATAGAGGTTTGCAGTCGAATACGTATATTTCCTACTCAGAAATAGTCTGCTACATCCAGCACTACTTGCTCCCATGTAAGTGGCCTTGTGCTTTGCAGTATAAATCTGTTTTCCTGTATTTAGAAGATTTTTTGCTTGCATAGGTTGAAACAATATGCTTGCTTCGACTTACATGCGTGTGAATGAGTTATCAAATTACTGATAGGAGTATAACATCTGTCTCACATTTCCTACGATTGCCAAGGGTAGTACAGCTGAAATTAGCCCAAGCAAATTGATCCCATGCAAAGCCTATGGGGTTAATCATCTGAGCAAATCTATTCCATAAAGAAATTATACTGTAATTCCATTAGCCATGGCTATTGATAGGGATCCTAAATATATTCAGACACTAGTAAAATTGTTAGGTATGAAGTCAAGGAGCCATGTGTTCCTCCAGGACATTTCTTAGTTGGCAACAAGACCCTTTTGATGTCTTCCGACATAGACAGAAATTCTGCTTCCCTGCTCTCATCTTGAGAAGAGATTCAGTTGGGCATGACAGCTTCTGTTATGCTCCTTTTCCCTTTGCTATGTGTTTCTACGTATGGCTAGAGTGTCTACTCTACCTGTGTGCTCTGGATTCATTAGACATAAGGAATGGTTTAGAAAAAAAATGATTGAGTTAATAAATAAATAGTATGCCCTGTAACAAACTACTAGAAATCAGTTTTTCCCATTTCTTGGGTCTCTGAAGAACTCACACGGCCTTTTCTTTTCATTCTCCCAAGAATCTTGTGGCACCTCAGACTGAGATGCTTTATCTGACACAAGCTGTTATGAACTGTAGCTTACAAAAGCTTCAGATTCAAGCTACTGAAAGTGCTATAAGACTCTGTTGTGCTGCAACAGGCTAACATAGCTACTCAATTGGCCATTTCTATCTCCTTTCTTCCAGCTAATCCTTGAATCCCAAAATCCCTCCTGCACGTCATGAAACCTAAATTTAGTACTCTGTAGCCACCTACCCACCCCTGAGCCCTACAGGCAGGCCTGGATCTTAAAACTCACTCAGGCTTTGCTTTCTCAGTAAGTTTGCTTTTTTGAGTTAACCTTCCCCCATTTTAAAGAAATTGTATTAATACACATGCCTAGTTATTTGGTTTTGTTTCCTTACTTGTTTGCCTTTAAGAACGCTCCACCAAAATAGCTGCTGTTCAACACAGCAGTCACTGGCCAGAATCCTGTTGCTCTATGGGTGAAAGTGTTGTGCTCCACTCATATAGTTCACTGCAATCTTTAGTTTATGGGTGAGACGTTACGTTCTGCTCACCTTGTTTGGTGCAATCTCTGGTTTATTGTCATGCAAGCAGAAATGACGCAATTGAGAAGACTGAGGTTTATGCCTATGCAAGCAGGTATTGGATATCTCCATGCACAAGCTCAGAAAAAAAACAGTCTACTTACACAATGGACAGTTCAATGGACTCAAAGAACAACCTAAATCTGTATGTTTGGGGAAAAAATGCCCTTGGAAATAACTCTGTCTGAGTGTGGGTTACTCCTAAATTGTTGATCTGATGCTTATTTCTTTAGATGCCAACCCTGTAGTAAAAGAGTGGTTTGTGTATCCTGGGAATTCCTTGCAGCAACCGGAACTGGTTCAACCCAAGCAGCTCCCAGGTAGAATGGAATGTTATCATGTCTTGGAACTTGAATTAAATGTGGAATATTTGACTGTTGAAAAATATGTAATGCTTATTCAATTTTCTTTGAGAAAGTTGTCTTTAGAGACCCAGGCAGACCAACTTACGTAAATGCATTGATTTTTTAAATGGGTAGTCTGCCAATATGGCTTAGTAAACCCTCGGGGAGACTTAAAACATAGAAAGGCAACAAACATTCACCAGTTCTGTACTCATTAGAATAATACAAATTTCTGGCAATGAGCAGTTTCCAAATCAAATATAGGATCAGACAGAACCCACTCTCATGTGCTTGGTGGACTGAAATAACTCTCAATCATTTAGTGAACATCCAGTTCAGAAGACTTGAGCTTCTTGGGGGAGGAAGTTGCACAGCTGAAGAGCCATCACAAATAAAGCTCTGTCCTTTCTCTAGGCCAGGTTATCCTAACTCTCCCAGAATTCAAAACATGCTCCTTGGAGCATGCTGGAAGGCACATCTCCTAAATTATACTGGACCTCAGCTGTAGGCATTCAGTGATGAAATTTAGAATGTTTAAGTAGTACCTAGAATGATAATTGGGACATTAGATGCTAACAACTGGTTTTCAAGGTCCATCTGAATAGTCCTTTTTTAGATGCATTGTATTTATCTCAGCTAAACTATTAAGCATATCCTTCAATGAGCATGTGAAGGGAACTCTTAACAAGCATTGCTTCAGGCAAGATCATGGGCAGGGGACTTGAGTATCCTTAACTATGTGCAGCATTGTGCCTAAAAGATATGCCCTGAGGATCTAGTTGTCTGAGCAATCTTGGTTTGCCAGCAGATTAACTTGGTAGGAAATAAGGTGGTCACTTTGTCTTCCCTGTTCAAATGGAGAGAAACTATATTCCATGTTCTGGCTTGAATAATGTGATGGAGAATGAAGATGAACATGTGCTGGGTACAGAGAACTCTTGAAAAGCTCAGTGGTTTAGCTCAGTGGAGTGGAGGTGACTGTGATTTGCTCCTGCCTTGTTTTCTCCCATGAGATGAAGGCAAGAGGGGAACAAGTCTGGCTTCTCCCTCTATCCCTCCCATCTCATATTGCTTCAGAGGGGGTGCAGCTTCAGGAAGACCGCAAACTGACTAGGAAGCCTCTGTAGAGGTATTCATGCCTACAGGCTAGGTGTTTTTCTTCCCAGATGAAGTGGATACAGTCAGTTCTGTAATGTACCTCTTCATTTGTCCAGCCTTATGACAACCATAGTGTTGGGGAGAATTTTGCATCTGCTAGAATGGGTGCATTCTTTTTCTCAGGTAGGTGCAAGAACACCAATCCATTACTCTTAGAATTTGCTTGTAAAAGCATGAGAATGACTGTAAGTATGAGGAATTGCAGCCAAAAAATGTCCTGGAAGCCAGACCTGACAACACAAATTCCCTCTCAACTTGTTTGTGGCTAATTCAGTAATGAAAGACTGTTCTATTCTATTTCAGTGCAGACAAGTGAAGAAGGAGAGGAGGTTGTCCAGGGTTTATTTTTGGTGTTTGGTTCCAAAACAAATATTTTTCTAAAAAATCTGCAGGCCATGTTTGTGTGCCTTAACGTCTCCCATGAATCTTTTATTTTTCTGCCGCATGACTCTGTAAATCACCAAATAAGGAACTTGGCTGTAGATTACTTTTACATCTAAAAATGTGTTGATGGAAGGTTACTCCATTCCAATCAAAGTCAGACTTGTAAAAACAAAAACAACATTTCTTTTACTTGTTGAAATACTATATTTAGAATGTATATATACAGTACCTTTGCATCTGTCTCCTTCCATCTGAATGCTTCAAGCATTTTAATTAAAGGGGGAAAGCAAGGAGTGAAATCTTCCTTCATTGAAATTAGTGACATCTGACTTTTTAACATAGTAGCCATTTTTATGCTCTAGCTTTTCAGGTCATTGGCCAATTTGTGGAACTGTCTACAAAAAGTGTGTGTGTGTGTGTGTGTGTGTGTGCGTGTGTGTGTGCGTGTGCGTGTGCGTGTGCGTGTGCGTGTGCGTGTGTGTGTATATATATAAAAATAACGCAGCACACAGCCATTAATGTCTAAACCGCTGGGAACAAAAGTGAGTACACCCCTAAGTGACAATGTCCAAATTGGGCACGAAGTGTCAATATTTTGTGTGGCCACCATTATTTCCCAGCACTGCCTCAACCCTCTTGGGCATAAAGTTCACCAGAGCTTCACAAGTTGCCACTGGAGTCCTCTTCCACTCCTCCATGATGACATCACAGAGCTAGTAGATGTTAGAGACCTTGCGAACCTCCACCTTCCGTTTCAGGATGCCCCACAGATGCTCAATAGGATTTAGGTTTGGAGACATGGTTGGCCAGTCCATCACCTTTACCCTCAGCTTCTTTAGGAAGGCAGTGGTCATTTTGGAGGGGTGTTTGGGGTCGTTATGTTAAAATACTGCCCTGCGGCCCAGTCTCCGAAGGGAGGGGATCATGCTCTGCTTCAGTATGTCATAGTACATGTTGGCATTCATGGTTCCCTCAATGAACTGTAGCTCCCCAGTGCCAGCAGCATTCATGCAGCTCCATATTTGACTGTAGGCACAACACACTTGTGTTTGTACTCTTTGCCTGGTTGCCGCCACATACGCTTGACACCATCTAAACCAAATAAGTTTATCTTGGTCTCACTGGACCACAGGACATGGTTCCAGAAATCCATTTCCTTAGTCTGCTTGTTTTCAGCATTCAGTATGTAGGCTTTCTTGTGCATCATCTTTAGAAGAGGCTTCCTTCTGGGACGAGAGTCCTGGAGACGAATTCGATGCAGTGTGCGGTGTATGGTCTGAGCACTGACAGGCTGACCCCCCCCCCCTTCAGCCTCTGCAGCAATGCTGGCAGCACTCATGCGTCTATTTCCCAAAGCCAACTTCTGGATATGAAGCCGAGCACAGACACTCAACTTCTTTGGTTGACCATCGCGAGGCCTGTTCTGAGTGGAACCTGTCCTGTTAAACCACTGTATGGGCTTGGCCACCGTGCTGCAGACCAGTTTCCGGGTTTTGGCAATCTTTGTATACCCTAGGCCATCTTAATGTAGAACAACAATTTGTTTTTTTCAGATCTTCAGATAGTTTATTACCATGAGGTGCCATGTGGAACTTCCAGTGACTAGTCTGAGAGAGTGAGAGCGATAACACCTGCTCCCCCTTCACACCTGAGACTTGGGACAGTAAAAGGGCTCATGATACCAGAGAGGGGAAATGGCTACTTGGGCCCAATTTGGACGTTGTCACTTAGGGGTGTACTCCCTTTTGTTGCCAGCGGTTTAGACATTAATAGCTGTGTGCTGCGTTATTTTGAGGGGACAGCACATTTACACTGTTACACAAGCTGTATACTCACTGCTTTACATTGTAGCCAAGTGTTATTTCTTCAGTGTTGTCACATGAAAAGATATACAGTGGTGCCTCGCTTAGCAGTTTACTAGTACTGTATTGTCTTTGCATTTCATATTCAGTATTTCTCAGTTCAAAATTGAGAAAAGACAGTGTTACCATAAGTAGCAATGAAATGTCTCCTTTTTTGTCTTCACTGTCAAAAAGATATGGCCTAAGAGAGCAATGATTAAGAGGAGAATAGTAATGATCAGAGCTTGTAAATGTTACCTTTTAAGACTACAGTAACCAGGATCCTTCTGACCACACTGGCTAGGAGATACTGGGAGCAGTAGTCCAATAATAACTTCAGATATCTCAAAGCAGTGTGGCATTATTATATATTCATGCACACCATTGTTGTTGTTGTTGTTTAGTCCTTGAGTCGTGTATGATTGTTGCTGACCCCATGGACCAGAGCACTCCAGGCCCTCCTGTCTTCCACTGCCTCCCAGAGTTTGGCCAAATTCATATTGATAGCTTCGATGACACTGTCCAACCATCTCGTTGGCTCAAGGATGATTGGAGCTGTAATCCAATATGTTTAGAAGGCACCTCATTGGGGAATACCGTGTCATGACTTTATGTACTTTTATGCTCATTAAATGGTAAGCAGAGTGAGTTAGATATCTGGCTACAGAGCCAGAAGATGGGAGTTCATTTCCCCACTGTGCATCCCAGAAGAGCAAGCTGCACAGTTCCAGGGTGTCCATAGTAGAAGGGGATTACCATCTAGAAAAACCTGAAGAGGGTCAGCATAAATCAGAGTTGAGTTGAGGGCACACAATTAAATTAGAGTAATGAATCCTGGTGTCCTTGGTTTGGGACTGTTTCTGATATGTACATTCCCGGAATGTGGAGCAACACAAAATACAATTATCTTGTCCAGCAGCAACTTCTATCACATATAGGAGCCCTTGGTGCCTACTGAGAGTTAGGACTCCACTCCCAGTCACTACATTTACCAAAAGGCAAAGACCAGTAAGACCATTTCTCCTTTACACATGAGGATCAACTGCTTTTGAAATGATTGAAGGCACCTATCATGCAGCAACATAATGCACTCAGCAGCAAAAACCTTACAATGTAGGATGTCTCCCCTTCCCTACTTCCAATAGTATTTTACATCTGCATAATAGATAAAGGCTGCAGTCATATATGAGCACAATACAAAGCTGCCTCTCCCAAGAATTCCCCTTACTGTCCCTGCCCTTGCAATATTGCCCCAGGGCAAGGGTCTCAGAGAGGAGTGGATGTCCTACTTGACGCCTCCACTGAAAGATAGTGGGTGCCCAAGTTGCAGCTTCTTTGGAATAGCAGCAGTGAGCCATGTTACAAAATGACTTATGGTGAGGGAGGAGAAAGGATTGAAGTGAATGCTTTAGTGCGTGCTTTTGTAATGCCTGATTGCCTATCCAAAAGATGTATGGAAAGGAAGCAAATAGGGCAGGCAGTCTGAGGGCCCCAACATCTTTCTTAAATATGGCCACCACAGCGCGGTATGCAAATTTGATAAATCCCAACAAAATCTTGCAGCTGTATAATCTTATATGATGCAATCTCCTCCCTGTGAAAATACATGGACAGTGGTTAAGGACCTCCATGGCTGTATCTTTTTCTCTTCTTCAATTTGATTTCCTGTGGCATTTGCATTGTCCTTCTCGGAGACCCCAAAAAATAAGCAGGAGTGATTGTATCCTGTCCAAGCTCAATGAGAAAAGCTTGCCAAAATTCCTTTCTGCAGCATTTCAAGTCGTGCCTTCTCTTTTGTAGGTGGCACGCCGAGTTTGAGATCACTGTGGCTTGTTGGAGGGCCAGAGGTTGAAAAGCGTCGCCAAGTCACATTTCTGGCCTGCTTTCGTCTAGAGGATATGGCAGAAGACCTCCAGGCCCTGGAGGCTCCCATCAGGGCTCTCTGCTCCTTGTTAATCTACCTTGTTCTGAAAGTAAAGAAAACACTAATTTAATTTTATTAATCTTGTTTTATTTTGTTTATTAATATATTTGTGCACAAAGCCAGTGTAGTTTAATCAGTAAAGTGTTGTACTAGGACTCAAGAGACCTGGATTCAAATCTCCATTCAGCCAAGGAAACTCATTTAGGGATGGCACTGGGAAAAAAATCACTCCTTATACATCTCACATACCTTGAAAACACTGTTAGAATTGCCATAAGTCAGAGGCAACTTAGTGGCATGTAATAGCAGGAGCAGCAACAACAACATTTTTGCAGAACTTGGAAACACTTTTGGACTACCATACCCAGAATCCCACAGTGGTCATGCTGGCTGAGGGATCTTGGTGACGGTAGTCTTTAAAATCATGAGGGTGATCCTGTTGATTGTCTTTAAAATGATGCTGATGCTGACAGTATTTCCATTATTGCTTTCGTGTCATGCCTAGTTACTAAGAACTCCTGTTCAAGATAGTCACCATAAAAAAACAGTAAAAACAGTAAAATAATTTTTTTAAAAAAGTTTTAAATGGTTGCATCTTTGCACTCTTCCTAAAAAAACGTAAGAGTGGAAACTGACTGAAGTTCCAGGGGAGGAGGGGTGCATTTCAAGGGAGAAATGCAGGAGAAATTCCTCTTCTGCATGAACATCAAACAGGCCTCTGCAGGCACTGAAATTTTCAGGAGCATCCTTTAGATAACCAGAACTTAAGATGTTTAGTGCTTTAGAGCAGTGGTTTCCAATCTTGTTTCCCCAGATGTTCTTATCCTTCACCACTAGCTTTGCTGGCCAGCGTTTCTGGGAGTTGCAGTCCTAGAAAATCTGGGACCCAAGGCTGAGAACCACTGCTCTAGAGGTTAAAACATATTGTGCTATTAATATTACAGCAAATTGTTATGGGTTAGTTCAAATCTATTTCAGTTTAATTGAAGTTGTAGTACACTCTGTATGCATCTACTCATAAGTAAGCCCCATGTGCAACAGGATTTGCTTCCTGGCATATGTGTGCCTCAAGCTATTGCTTTAACAATTGTAATGCCAAACTGCTGTATAGAGTAGATAAGATTTCTTAACAAGGAATAAAAAAACGCAGCCACTGACATAATGCTCTCTTGACTTATGGATGGTGTGAATTACAAAACAGATAGATACTGCTGATGAAGCCGTTCACTGTGCAGTATAACACATGCTGCTGTTTAAAATTGGTTGTTAGGCACTTGGTATCTGTGAACAATTTTCTGGATTGTGGCTATGTATAATCAAAAACTATGATATAATGTTTCCAGAAAATGCTTGGGAGGGCAGCGACCATCATACGTAAACGTATCAGCAGTGGATGCTTCAATTTGTAATCTCAAGGACAGCTTCTAAAGGATGTGCATCTCTATGGAATATCTCCTATATTGAAATTAAGACTCACTTCTAATTTATATAGAGCTCTTGTATATGCAGTGTGATTTTTTTTTATTTATTTATTTATTTTTTTTGGTGAGTGCCTCCAAATAGAGGAAGGTGCCGAGGACCTACTTTGTTGTTTATTCCTTGACTAACTTTCTTTTTTTAAAAAGCCAGAAAAATAAGTTTTAAGAAATCCAGGAATGTAAGGAAAAGAAAGATGGTGATAGCTGGACTTTCTGCCCACAATAAAATTCTGCAGTTGAGAGAAGGCAGTTTCAGGATAGGTGCCTTGCTGGGGTGCAGTCTGTGTTTATGGCCTTCTCTCTCCCCTCAGGATATTTTCCTTTTTGTGGCTGTGTTTCCCCCCTACATCTCTACAGTTGCCTGACTACTCTTGCATATATATATATTGCTGTGTTGAAGCCGACAGAAAGTAAACAAACAACTGAGTGCCTGCTATTGCTGTTATGAGGCTGCAGGGAAGGGGGACATTTTGTCCATAACTGAAATATCAACAGATACAGGCAAAATATTTTGTCAGTTTGGTTAATGGATGGATGTCTAGAATCTGGCTGTGGAAGGGGCTGGGCTTTTAGTGTGAGATCAGGGGACTAGCAAAATAATTATTGCAAAAAGTTGCTTTTTTACACATATAGGCAATGTACTGTATTCTGCAGTTTATTTGTCATTTGTCTGACATATTGCAGGTTACATTACTTTGACTGCGCTAAGCTTGATTATGTGTTTGGACACTTTTATATTGGAAGAACATCTGATGTTTCGTAGAGTCTATATTACAGTGTGTTTCTGTTCCACTTCTAGTTCTTTCCTCCTTTTAAAGTGATGATGGGGAAACTGGAAAAACTTCTGTGTTCATATGTTGCATCTTCTCTGTGTCTCTTATACCGTATGCTATCAAGTAGAACCAACTTATAGTGACCCTAATAGGGCTTTCCAGGTGAGATGTTTAAAGATGGGCTTTCCCAGTTCCCTGCCACTCTCATTCATTTCCATTGCTGGACATTCGAACTCAGGTCTCCTGAGTCCTAGTATATCACTCTGTCCATAACACCACACTGAGTACCTGTTATATCCTCTTGTTAAAGTTCATTTCACCTTATAGTCCAGGGAAGGAAGAATAGGACATGAGAAGCTCTGTTTTAGAGGCTTTGCATTCATATGTATTTGGGGAGGAACTGAAATATATAAAATGGCTTCTCTCCAAGTACAGTTCTGATACTATAACAAGACATTCTACTGTTGCAAGTTTCATTATTTGTGCCTCAAATAGGGAGTGATACATGCTGTGTAGAAAAAGAGGTGCCAGGGCTCAGGTTTGGAAACCACACGTTCTTTAGGAGATTCCCCTAGCTGATCAGAAGGAAAGAGAACACATTCTATACGCGATCAGAAGCACATGATTCTTCATATCATTCAATCATGTGAATCTCCATATTGGGAGAAAGGAGGCCTATAAATGAAACAAATAAATTCACCAAAAAGCTTGGCTGCCCTTTTTATACCAAAAGGCGCAGTTTCCCAATGGTATACATAGCCTGCAGCAAGAAGGCAAGGCAATTGTTGTCAGGGGGAAGTCTTTGTTTCCGCCAGTGTACCTCACATTCAAATTAGATTGCTTTAATTCTATCATCTTTTTATCCATCTGCCTACTAACTTAAAACATTAAGGAAGCTGTTTTAAAAAGCTAAGAAAGAATTCCCACCCCTCCACACTTGAATTGCTTGAAATAGCAACGTTAATTAAGAAAGAGCAGAGAAGCAATCTTTTGTTGCTGAAACATTGGGCTAAAGTAGCATCTGATGGATTGCACTTGAAGTGCTTAAAACAAACCCCAGTAATGTAAGCATGCTGTCCTGGCTCCTTAGGATCCCCAGAAACCACTAATAAGCTTCAGATCAAATGAAAACAACTAAGAGTCCTGTGTCACCTGTAAGGCAAATGCATTTGACATATACATTTGCTAAGTGCAGCTGTCTTCTTTCAAGGCAACCCATTACTTGGATGAGTTGCAGTCCATGAAACCTTTAGGCAAATAAACGTTGTGAGGGCCTGTCTAGACAGGTATATAGATCACTGTTTGGGTCACTGCTGGTACAGTTTGGTGCAAACTAAATTACGGTTTCCATACATTTTTCTACTTCAATCAATCCATCCTGCCCCTTTAGAGCTTTCCTGCTTCTTTCTGGCCTAGCTCTAGGTAAGCACTTCTGGGTTTTCTTTCTATACAACTCAGCACACTCCTAATTGTCCCTTTGTGCAGCCCATGCAGGTAGCTAGTTTGCACCCAAATGTAGCTGTGAGCGGTGTTAACTGAGGAGACAGCCCTGGGATATATTCGGTGGCTTGTGACATTAAAAGGATGGACCATTTCTCTTCTCTGTTTTCATCTTCTTCTTTTTTCTAAATATTTCCCTAACTTTGCTTCCCTTCTGTTTTCCCAACCTTCACCCCAACATTTTCCCCTTATGCCTTTGCTGCTGCCTCCTTCTTTATGGGTAAATGGGGTAAACCTTGCTCACAAGTAAACCAGTGACCCAGATGCCTGTCTCGACCTTTTTCACATGAGGAAAACATTGATCAGTGTGAATGGAAGGATCACTCAAATGAGAGATCCAAGGACTGTTACTTCCTTGGGGGGAAAAATAAGGAAAGACACCCAAATTCCATAAAGGACACCTCCACACAAACAGCACTAGGTTTGTATGGAACCTTGCTGTCTTGTGTGCTGCTAGCAAAGCATGTTCTGTGCTGATCTTTTACTGCACCTTGTTAATGTTCTGCTTCAAAGTCAGCCACGAAAAAGCAGTCATTTAGGGGCTGAATCCAAGTAAACTCTTCTGAACTAATTTTAAAGCCCCCAAATAAATATATGAAGAGGAAAAATGCATCATTTTTAAGAACAATTATTTCTATAGTAACCAGTGCATATTCCAAGACAGTGTCATAATATAATCTCAGAGATAACTGAAAGAGAAAACATTAAACCGAGCTTCTGTTGAGAGATGGTGAAGGCAGTGGAAGTAAGGCCAAAGAGCTATAGTTGCCTCTCTTGCACAGATTGGGATTAAACAAATACTCATGAATAACGCCTTGGTGTGAGACTGACATTCCAGAAACAAAGAATTTAGATAAGGGACTGAAATACTGTATGATCTTTCATAGCTGTGAGCTTCATCGCTTAAAAAAAAAACAACAACTCTGTCTCTTTTAGGTGGACAGCCTCTCTTTGGAAGACTTGAATGCATTTATTGCTCAAGCTGTGTGCCTCCAGGGAAAATCAGCTGCTCAGCTTGCAGGTTTGCAGGTACAGACATGACTCATCTGCTAACGTAATGTTGATGGTAACCTTAAGATGAACAAGGGATGGCTTCCTTTCTGACTCAGAGATATTTGGAAAATCAGGCTGGAGTATCAGCATTTATTGTTCCAGTTTAATTCTGTGCTTCATATGCAAAACATATGAGGGGAGACATCCTACATTGCAAGCAGTGGCTTCATATGCCACTCTGCCTGTTCCAGAGGCTTGGCATGTCCTGCTACACCCACACTGAAGAGTCCTCAGTTTTTGGTTAGAAGCTGCCACTGCCCCCCAGATATGTTTGTGCCTTGTCTGCTCGCTGGCATCTGATTCAGACTCATTCTTCCATCACTTTGTCACTGCCAGCTTGCTCATCCATCCACTGCAACCAGGTGATGAGTACTATGTAAACTCCTGATTCCTTTTCTTCCGATGCAGGCCTGACTTGTGTAGCTCATTGCCACCCTCTTAGGGTGGTTGAGCAACATGTACAGTTGCAACCTTGCCTGCAGAGTCCAGGGTAGGTTAGAAAGAGCAGCCCTGTGCATAGAGGTACAAACAGGTCATTTTTAAAAGCCAGTTATAAATTTAGCAGCTGGCTGGATAGCTCAGTGAGTTAGGCATCTGGCTGCAGACCTAGAGGCTGAGAGTTTATTTTCCTCCTGTGCCTCCTTTGAGTAGACTCAGCCTGTGTGGCCTTGGGCAAGCTGCACAGTTCCAGAGCCTCCCCCCCCCGCCTCCCCCAAAGAAGGGAATGATAAATAATTTCTGATTACTCTGTATCCAGAAAACCTGAAAAGGGTCTCCATAAGTCAGAACTGACTTGATGGTATGTGATAATGATGACGTTCAGCAACAAATTATGTTGTCTCCTTAGTTTTCAAGAGAATGACATGAGTCTGAGAGACATGAGCAGTGGTTAGGAGGATATAACTTTTCCCCTGACTTTTCCGAGTGAAGGAATTACTTCCTGTTCTGCCAAATATGGACTCATCCCTATTGAGATCCATGGTTCAAAAGTGGGGTGGGGAGATTGCCTGTGGCTGCTTTCTTTGTCAAAAATGAAAGGAAGTTCCTATGCTATGTGACTATAGCCAATAAAGGGAGAAGTTACTTTTGGAAACTAGAATTCCCTGAATACCCTAACAGCATGGTAAGTGGGTATGCTGGCTGGGATACACTGAGAGCTTTTGTTCAAAAATGTAACTTCTCCATCTCTGACTGTGAGGTACTCCTGAATCTGTGCTTCAGGTTGCTTGTATGGTTCCATCCATTGCAGACTCTGAATTTCAAAAATGATAGCATTCATTTGGATGGTGCTGTCAACTCAGGAATCTCTGAAATGCTAGAAGTACCAAAGTGATATTGTTAGTACTCATTCACAAATATCTAATGAACGGAGAGCTTTGTACCACTGAATGCTGAGATTCACGAAATCCGTCCATGACTGTCAGCATTCCACACATGTCAGAGATCTACAGTAACACATTGAGTTTTATTCATATTTTATCTTAGAATGATATTGGGAAGAAGTTGCTCAGCTTGTTTAAGAAGCTGAAAAATTGGCAGGAAACCATTCTGTTGTTGCCATGGGAACAAATATAACACTTCTTTCCCCAAACCTCACCCAGTCGCTGAACATACATAAGATGAATTAACTTTTAATTTTACTGCATATATTTTACTAGGGAAGCAGTTTACTCTAACAAGAGCTGATTTCAAAGAATGTATGCAAAACTAATAGTGAAGTTTTTGCAGTGCTTCAGGCAGACCACCTTTGTTTAAAATTTACCCTGGACTTGCCATTCTGTTTTGTGGTAAACATGGTGTGTTTTTAATGCCTGCCTGTTTAGCCACTTCAGGCATAAAGCTATTTACAGGGAAGGAAGTTTGAGAAGTAGGTGGGGCTTCTTTACCAAACAGACAACCTGTATTTGTGGAATGTTCGGTTGCTTTGAACTGACAGTTGTGTTGTTTCAAATACTCCCTTGCTTGATAACAAGGTAAGTGACCCACTCGCAAGTCGTGTGTCTGTGCCCTTTCTCATTGTTCCAGTGGTCTGTTTGCACGGGGATTCCAAACATACTCCTTCTGCTTTCTGTGTCCTGTCAGTATCTGCTTTGTTCTCCCTACTGCCAAGAAACAACTCTATTTGTGGCTTTTGGCATTTATGTCTGCTGAATTTGTCAAAAGAATTTCAGTGCAGAGCAGAATTAGCATGACATCTTCATAACGCAAGAGAGAAAACAAACATAAACAAATCCGTGTGGCTCCTAACTAAAAGTGAACATTTCTTGTTGTCAATAAGAAATACATAAAGCTGGGTATTTAAGGTTTCTAAAAACTAAATAAATGTATTGTGCATGCTTTTTAATTTTTAGAAACCTTAAATTAGCCAGTTTTATGGCTTACATACCATGGAAGGCCTAAAGCAAAGACAGTGTGAACATGAATAACTGACATATTGGCCCAAACCTTGTTGCGTAACTTCATGCCCATGGAAGCTGATGATGTGACCGGCCATGATCTTTGATCACTCATTAAAAGTTTCTTATTCCACCCTCCTCCCCCAGGTCCAAGGCTCCCTGCAAAAACCTTTGGGAGCCTTGGTACAGGGTGGGAACCTACAATGCCCCAAAATCATTACCAAAGAGGCAGTAGCATTGGTGATGGTTTGGGGGATATTAAAGTCCCCTCCCTCAGAGACTCAGAAACACTTCCCCAGATCAGAAGGGACTTTGAGGGAGCAGTAATAGTCTCCAGCTGTTGACAACATCAGCTTCCACAGGCATAAATCTATGCAGTAGGATTTCATCCACAGTATGAGTCTTTATTATATAGGTTTCTGAAACAACTTTTATATGAAAGACTGTTCCTACATTCTCCATGTGTTTGATGCTGCCCCCAACTGGAATATTGCAGAGAATTTTGTGTTTTGGTTCTGTGGAGCTTGCTGTCATGTGTATCAACTGCTGGGGCAAAAATGTGAAGAATCCCCCGTACAGTGGGGTCTTGACTTAAGAACGGCCCGAGTTAACAACATTTTGACTTACAAACCACTCTCATAGGAAAATATTGACTTGACTTACATACTTAGATTTGAGTTACGAACTGAAAAAAACCCACGTGGGGGGCAGGGAAAGTGCAAAATTTGAACTTTCAGTTAACTGTTGGCCAGTGAAAAGGGTGCCTGTCTGCTTCCTCACTCCTCCCAGCGTTTAGAGAGTGGATTGGGAGACAGTCTTCGGACTGCCTGGTACTGTACTGCCTGGACTGTCTTTTCCCTGCCTTCCCTGAACCTTTCTTGACCTAAGAAAAAAAAGAAACAAAATATCCCCCTCTAGTGGTCGAAGGCGGAATAGCAGCTTCCCATTAGTTTCTATGGACGGAAAAGAGCAGATACGGATCAAATGGTTCTCAATGCATTCCTATGGGAAATGCAGATTTGACCTGAGAACTTTTTGACTTGAGAACCGCCTTCCAATACGGATTAAGTTCTCAAGTCAAGACCCCACTGTACTTTGCTTCAGACCTTATAGTATATGTGTGAAAGTGCTCAGATACCTACACAGATCTGCTTGTATGAGAGCCATCATTTCCTAGCTGGTAAATACTTAAGTACGTGTAGTATACTTCATACAGAAAGTGCATTAAAAATAAATAACTTGGAGTAAAATAGCAGATAAGTATCACCAAGAACAGCAGTATTCTTAACTCTGTTCTCCCTTTAGAGCATTTCAACACCAGAAAGTAGAGGAAACAAGTCTGTGCATACCACAATTCAAAAAGTCTTTGTGTTAATTAATGACATAAATAACATCTTATCACCACAGGTCAGTCAAGGAAATGCTCTCAAACAATTTTTAGAAGCCATTTATTGTACCGTAGTAAAAGGAAAAGCTACTGTGGTCACTGGAAAATTCTCCCCATTAGTTTTGTTCTTGATTATGCCAGCCTGAATAGGTGCAGGAAAAGTAGAGTAGTGAACAAGTGTTAGATGTATTTCCTAAAACGGTTACCACCCATAAATGTCGTGTGGGGAGGGATCCTGCTGGCATAAACCATAGAAATGATAGAGACTCTTCAATCCTATGAAAATTGGGATATAAATATTCTTAAATAAATAAACAAAACAAACCGTAGGCATGTCGTTGTGCAGTATTCCTTCCTGATTTTATCTAGGATGGTGTGACTGTATATTGATCGCATCCAATTAGAAAATGTTATTGTTATAGTAATCTAAATTAACAATTCAAAGTGTCTAGCATCTTTCGTGGGATTTTTGACACCACTTCCTTTTGTCTTTTACTCCTTCTCTCCTCACTTTCTGAGTCTTTTGTCTTGTATTTTGATTTCTTTTTGACTTTTGGTGCGCAGTGTGGATATTTTAATTGTTTGGAGAACATACCAGTACCGTGAAACACCACTCTAATCTCTTAATACTTTCCCCAAATTTCTGTAACTTCTGGGTGTCGGTCAGGTTTGCTTTCTAATAGGCAATTAGAAATACTAATAGTACTGACAGGTGCTGTACCTTTTCAAAAGTTTAATAAATAGGGAAACAGAAAATTTTGTTCATCCTTCTCAGCGCGAGAACTGAGGATGAAACTGAACAGTGGGAAATGAAATGATGGGAAGTTTAGGACAGACAGAAAGAAGTATTTCACAGAGTGACTTGTTAAACTGTGGGATTCGCTTACAAAAAGGCATGATGATGGCACTCGTCAACATACATGGTTTTAAAGAGAGGTTGGAGTTTAGTATGAGTAGCTACTTGTTATAGGTGCTATGTGCTGCCTTTAGGATGAGAAGCAGTTCATTTTGAATATTGGTCCTATAGAGAGAACAACAAAGCAAGAAGGCTTCCCATCCATATCTGGTTGGCCACTCTGAGGAACAAGATATTAGACTAGCTAAGGCTTTGGACTGAGCCACCGGGAGTCTTCTTATATTTTATGTTTCAAACAGCTTCATAGGGGTGCATATCCCCCAATTGCCACACAACA